GCACCTAACTCTGTTGGTAAATGACTTAAAGTGGAAGTAAAGTGAATGATTGAACAAAAAAAGAAAGCCCCCCTGGAGCTTTTAGCCATAATGTGCTAGTATGTAATGCACACTGCCAAACTGATCCCCCTCCAATGCTGTGCTCCTCCCTCTCACCGTTGCTTCCATGTTCTCCCTGGCCTTCTTCTGGATTTAAATTCTTTGGCTGCTTGATTGGCTCAGCCCTGGTGACACAACTCCTGCGGGAGTTGTTTCATCACTGCATGCCGAGCATGTACACCAAGCTACACATATGCGGCTCAGTGTACAGGAAAACATTGGTGACAGGCTACAAAAAGCTTTTATGACCAGGCAGGCTTCTTGGATTTGTTCAATGCTTTACAAACCTATCCTGTCTATTATTGTAATAGAGGATTTATATAACACCAACAGTTTTTCAGCACTTTACAAAATGGAGGGAGACCGTACAGTTACAATACAATTTCAATACAGGAGGGTTAGGAGGTCCCTGCTCCTAGGAGCTTACAATCTAGTATGTGTGTGTGTGTGATATACTGTATTTTGAGAGGACTGGTTTGGTTAGGGTTTTCTGAGTGGTATTTATTGATTACAAAACAATTCATCATTCAAAGCTGGTCATTGCTTAACATCTTGGTGACATCAAAATGATATACAAATACACTAACGAGTTCTAAACTGGACATCAGCTGAAATCTACAATAGGATGGCATTAGCATCTACTGACCCCTGCAGATCAGATGTTCCTATCTAGTGGCTCATTGTCCTAGCAATCGTTTGCTATAGTGCAAGTCCTATTGGACAGTAAAAAAAGAGGGTGAATTATCACTTTTAAAGAGGAAACCGTTGCTACAGTAACCCTTTACTGTGTGAGAACTCATTCATATTGCTCTGTATACATTCTTTCTATCCAGCCACAAGTACTGGCAGCTGCCATGAGAGATACTTCAGCAGCTTTAAGGCTGTGGTTGTAAGTATTGCACTCTCTATTCTCATTTCACTGGAAGGGGCACTGCGGGGGGTACATTTCGGATCAGTTGAGTGTGAACATTTTTGACAGGCGAGGTTGGAAGGCCAGACTGCCTTTTTCTAAAAGTGAGCCATGTCCAAGGTTGCAAACTGTTAGCCTGGTGCTGTGAAAAGACACATGCTGCAGGAAAGGTGGAGTTTATCTGATCTCTGTAGATGTAGTGTTCAGGGCAACAACAAAAAAAAATCTTCTTCGGAAATAATATTTATTACTTGGCAAATATACATGCAGGACAAGCTGTGCTCAGAAAATGTCCTGGCTAGTCTTGATTACCCTGGTTAGACTGATCTATTTACATATTAATATGACCTCCTAGATAATAAATTCAGAGAAAATGTCCTAACGGAGCTGAAAAGCAATCGTTATATTGTGAGAAAATGACATTAAGGAAATAGAATATTTTTTTTGTGTCCCAGTTGTACAAGTACAGTTTCCAACACTGTCATCATTAATACTGGCTAGCTTGGTGCTAGCAATAGGAAAATGGCCCTTTATTAAACAAAGGTATAAAGTTTAGACTATTAAAAAGCATAATATAAATTATGATAAAGCTGAGCCCCTGTCAGATCGCGTGGCAATTGTGCACGATACTGCACGGTCACAGAGTCACCCATGACAGACGATCGTGCTTTGGGTGGCATTATTTTCTAATAGCACCCCAGTCGCTAAAACAGCCGCGCGTTGTGTATTGCAAAAAAAAGTACATGTACCTTTTTTCTGCTATTACAGAGCGGAGTAAACCCATTGAAATCAATGGGGCCAGGCGGCAATCGTTGTCTGCAATTGTGTAGGACCGTGTGATCCCGGATCGCTCAGGCTTGCATCGGGCCTAAAACCCACAAGGGGTTCTATTTTCCACACTGTATCACTAAGAAAAATTTGCTGGACATACTTTTTTAAAGTGAATTGCATTTTCTTTTTTTAAAGAAAACACGATTCTGCTTTCTATATTATTTTGCAGCCTAAACAGACTAAACAGTGCTCCTACTTCCAAATCTTTATTTTTTTGCTTGGTTCTCTTGTTCTTCTCCATCCATTGGTTTCCCAGTTGTTGACATGGAGACAGCAGTGGTACATGACGGTCATGGAAAGGGCAGAGGTGTCTACCATAGGCCAACCTCACCTACTCTATGCTGTACAAGAGGCAAGAGGGTGCTGCCCAGCATAATAACTGGGTCTTTGGAGAAAAGTTTTTTGTTTACCAGTTTTGCACCAGTAAGTTGTTTATAAGCTGAGTAGTTCATATTAGGTGGTGGTTTCTCTTTTGTTAAAAAAAGGGTTTCTTATGTTGGATCAAGAGTCCTGCAATGTGATTTTGGTGGCAATCAGGTCCACACCTAAAATGGCTGAACTACCATGAACAGGGCACAGATTTGTAAATATTTATTTTAACCTTTTGAATATCTTGTGTACATAGGTTGTTTTTTTTTTAATAATCTGAAATAAATTTTATTCATACAAATCTAGAGATTGGGTTGCTTCAGTAATATTATACTCATGGCTGTTTTCTTTGTTGGCTTGTTGCTTTGTGTGAGGCCACTGCACAGAAAAAAATCAAAAGGAAAGCAGAAACAGAAGTTTTGCGTCAGGCCAGTTCATGATATGCTCACCAAGTATGTTTTGGCAAGATAGAGCCACACCACAAGAGCCCATAGAAACGATGCACATACATACCTTTGGCTAGATATAGCCCCACCGCAAAAGCCCGTAGAAGCAATGCACAACCATAAAGTGCACATACACAGCATGCCTATGACTAGCTTAGAAAAATGGTCAAGCTTCCAATACCAGTAGCCTAAGTTGATTTCATCCACGGTTCTTAATAGAAACTCTTTTTCTAAGAAAAAGAAGAGCAGGGAACAGGTCTCTGGAATTTAGCTATGACACTGACACATGGGGGTTGATTTACCAAAAAGGCAAATAGCCTGTTCACTTTGCAAGAAAATTTTCCCTTAGCTTAGCCTTTAGTAAATCAACCCCATGGAATCAATAGCTTACCAAAAGGGCAGATTAGACACATTGGGGATCCAGTCCGCAAAGCTTTTGCAGAAGTCTTGTTGATAGCAGGGTCATTCTTACCATAAGACCCTAGTAGGCCAGTGCCTGGGGCAATAGGGTATTCGTTTCAGCACATCTTGGTGACTTGCACAAACTTTGACTATTACATTTATTTTTCCTTTGTCTACCTGTAAGTAAATCCAGTGAAGGAGCTGTAGGGGAAGGTTTGTTTGGAAGTCACATAACTTTGTAGCTCTGGCACAATTAAACCATCACCCTTTTTTACTGGTTATTGGTCTGCATAGTTTAATAACAGAGCACAAAATGTGCTGCTCCCAGCATCATATTCTTATTATAGTTTGTGCAAAAATAATCTTTTAATGATCAATACTTGTTGGTCTTTTAACTCAGTGCATGAATTACATGCAATCTTGGCTAAAGTGGAAAGAATAAGCACAAATACGTACCTTATTACTCGCTCTAATCAGCTCTGCTGGTGCTCTTTTTCGCTGTCCCACAGTCTTGAGTGTTCGGTGAACCATCGGCCACTGCTGGACCTACACTATATGTGATGACACGAGAGCTGCAACTGGTTAGGCAGCGAAGTGAAGTAGTTTTCTTCTGCCAGGCTTATTTTTCTTATTTGTACCTGGAAATCCTGCAAATAGCACACTTTCTGTCCCAAAGTGGCTACGTTCACTCCATGGTACTAATGGAGGGATACATGGTTCTTGGGTTTAGCTATCCTATACGTTTCTTAATCGTAGTGATCCTGTTTCAGAGTTGCAATAGTGGCCAGCTGTTTGATCATGGTTGTCCAGCTTTGAAACAAAAATTGTTATATATATATATATATATAACAAGGTGTTTAGTCTTCCTTTTCTATTTTTTTTAAATACCAGCTGTGACATTCCTCTTCAGTAACTAAAGGGAGCAATAGACACAAATCCTTGATGTGGCCTTTTTGAGCTAGGTTGGGCAATTATATAATTTCTATGGACAATGTCATACAATTTCAGGCAAGACGTCTGAGGGAAATGACAATTGTTCCTGTTGGAATAATTGCCATAGTTTCCTCACTTGCACACATATATATTTACGTAACCTTTGGAAATTACAGGGGCTTTCTATTGCTCTGTCACGAGCGAAGTATAAGGGCAGCCATTTCTAGTCCTCTTCTGAAAATGCTAGCTGACAGACTGAGTCTGACTTACCGTAAAAGTAAAGGCTCCAATATGACAGCCTAAACAAGTCCCATATCCAGTTACTATATGAGGCACAAGCCTTATAAAGTAATCAAAATTCTTCCTTTACCTTTCTCGACTGAGCTAAATCCTCCTTCAGTTGTGTCTCACATGCTTCTTCTAACAGACAGTGCAGCTCACGGTTGGGAGGGGTCAGCAACAGTGGCAGTGCTTCCAATAAAAAACCAGTGTGCAGACCAGGTACTGATTGACAAGCCATAGGCTTGTATATCAGCGGTAACAATGCCAATAGCCATGCCCCCTGCAACATTTTTTATCCCACTGTACTACAAGCAGGCACAGCCTAGAGGAGAGCAGCAATCCTGCTCTGAATTCAGGAGCAGTGCAGCATCGTTGCAACACCATCACAAGAAGCTGCATTAGGCAGACCTCACTGGAAGCATCAGCAGTTATCTGTGGGACTTTACTGGAGGGCTAAGATACAATTGTCAGTGCAGATGCACTTACTATTGAGTGCTACAGCACATTTTTTTAGACGACATAGTTCTAACCCTACCTATGCAAAGCCAAATAAGTGTACTCTAATGGGTGTCCCTGTTTAAAAACAAAACAAAAAAAAACATGCTTGCAAGTGGAGTCCAGTGTTGTCTTCCTTTCAGCCAAAGTTCTTCTTGTGCCACTCTGCTTCCATGCCCACATTTTGAAACTCCTGTTATTGGCAACTGACTATGTCTTCCTCATTTTGACAGTCAGCCCAGATGATGCGCTGCGGGATCATGTGCAGAAATGCTGCAGGTCTCTTGGAGAGGTCCTAGATGCAAAAAGCACTATTCTTCATTCAACACTGCCTCCTGGTATGTGTGATGTGGACTGAATCACAGACCCAGAACAAGCATGCTTTTAAATGAGTGTCGGAAAATGTCTCACCTGTTTATTTCTATAGGTCATAGGCTCTAGGCCAGTTATTCAGACAGCACTGAAACCAATACATTACCATGTCATCCATGAAACCAACATTCCCAAGTGAGAGTTCAGCAGTGGCAGCCTCCATGATTCTCTGAACTCCATGAACTGTTGTCCCTGCAACGATGGATGTTGTACCTGAACAATCCCCCCCATCCACCCCCCCGTGCTTTCTTACTGGTTAGTAAGGCCATACTTTTTAGAATTTTAGAGGTCGGCGCCAGTGATTAACTTGTCATCAGCTTAGTTTCTTTTTTGTTTTTTATTTGCAGTTTAATGGTTTACAGTAACACCTTTTACTGTTTAAAAGTAGTTTTAAGGGGAAAAAATCCATCATCCCCGGATATATCATGTTACCGTAAAATAAGTATTTCAAAGAATGTGTCAAGTCATAGGAAATGTAACATTGGCATGCCACTTTATAACTCAGCAAAAACAAAGATAAATGCACACATGTTCAAGCTGTTCCCACTTGCTTGTTCTTGTTTTTCTGGAAAGCTTGTAGATCCATTATTGATTAAACAGGAGTTATATATTTACCTGTTTCGCTCTGGAGGGACATTCCTTTAATACGTTACTTATACTCTTCATGAGACTGCAGCCGATAATACTTAATTCTGAGATCATTCTAAAAGTATTTGGAGAATGATGCAGCAAAAAGTCATTTTTTTACTCTTTGCTAAACTAATGAGGTAATGTCAGGGTACAGTACTCACATGGAAGGTTTCTTTTACTTTTGTTGTCTTTTAAAGGGTCAGTTTTATTTTTTTCTTATCAAACATTTTATCATTTTTAAACTGATGTTTTATATATCATAAACTGTCTACCTTTTGACTTGCTTTGTCTGTTTAAACCTTGGATGGAGCTATATATAAGCCACTGTGTCAATGCATCCTTTGTGCATGCAAAGCTAAAGGGCTCTGTAAAGAGACATTTTTCATCAAACATGCTAGAAGTGCCTTTTAAACATGAAAAAGCGACTAAAGCTCTAATTGCTGGCTACAAAATAAAAAAAAATGAGCATGCAATATTTCATGAACCTGAAAAATAAAGAAACATTAAAAGGGTTATTTACAAAAGGGTGAGGAGTTTGGAGAAGGCAGGAGAAGTGAACAATCTAGGACAACATAGCTGAACCAGAAAGTGAGCTGAATTGGAGAATTTTTCCAAATCGGCTATTTGGGCCTGGATTGATCACTTCTCCTGCCTTTCTCCAAACTCTTTACCTTTTTATGAATAGCCCTGTAAGTAATTTTTGGTAGTTCTGAAAATAATAAAGATAATCCGTTAGAAAACCATTATTTGTATCCTTTAAGGGGCTATTCACACCAGCGGGTGCATGCTATGTTGTGTAAAACAGATGTGGGCTGGTGTACATTGTGCACCTGCATTGTCATGCATTATAATAGCACAGCACAGCGTTTGGTTTTTTCTTACTTTTGATAACTTTTTTAAAGTTTAAAAAATGTAGTTTGAACTCTGTTCACATGCATATTTTTTCACATTATATTTCATAATAATGATGCATTAGTATGCAATGCACACCAACTCTATTCTATGGTGTGGACAGGGCACATAGAGAACAATTGTACAATTGTTCTCTCTGCCCTTGCGTTGAGCCTGCGTTGATCAATGCAACTCGAAGCACCTGGTGTGAAGAGCATTGAAAAAAAAGCAATGCATATAGGACAACGTAACAATGACAGTACATTGCAACAATGCAATTACACCTACTGGGTGATATAGACTTACAGGAGTGAGCGTTTCCAAGAAAAAAAAGTCTTATATGATAACATGTAGAGTTATGGGTTTTTAAAGAGGTCAAAATATGTGATACTTTAACTGTTATTTAAGCATAACCCACTGCAGTTAAATGTCCTGAAGCTTTGCCCATATACAGTGTTTAAGAGTGTTTTAGGATAGTTTTTTGGGCATGTTTTAGTGAAATGCTTCTACAGTCTTGAGATCTCTGCACAATAATTACGCCAAGATACAGAATGACATCAACTGTAAACAGAATGTTGCCATGCTCCCAAATCTATAGGCTTGCTACACTTTTTTAAATTCCCCCGTGGCAGCTTTACAAAATGTGCTGTTACCGTGCATTTACTGGAAGACAAACGCAGCCAGGGAATTAATATCAGCCAGAGTACAGAAGTGCTACTGTAGGCCTCTCTAGTTTGAACAATAATTGAAGTGAAGAAAGGAATGTTAACAGGCTCAAATATCATAGTCTTCCAAATTTGACATTTAAGCTGAACCACCATCAGACGTCTTTTCTTTGGGCTGTTAAAAAGTAAAAAAAAAAAGAAATAGAATGTTGCCCCTCAGGAGCTCAAATTAAACAATCTTTCTTGTAGCACTGCTGCATGACATTAGGTTGTAATTCATTATCATGTGCTGTATGGCTGCATTGGATCTCTTGAAGAGACAGGAAACTTTTTCAGCTATGAATCAGTTGGTGGTGCAGGGAAGAGGTCTTAGCAGAACACTTGTGTGCAAAGAGTTGTTCTGGGATACAGTGTAAGAATGGTGTGCTTGTTATAAATCACTCACTGACTCCTTTATGCCTTGCTGCAAGGTTACTTTGCTGCTTTAAAGGTGCCAGGCTTGTTAAAGTAGTGACAATCCCTACTTGGCACCAAGACAAAGTTTCAAAAATGCCAGACAAGCCCATTTTTATTTATTTATTTTTTTCTTAATGATTTGAAAGGTTCTGTTTAAAAAAGGTTGAGATTTCTTTCTCTATGTAAATCTTGATTGACAATTTTGCTTGTTTAAAAACGCTGCCAAAACACAGCACTAAGGCGCTATCACACACCACTAGAGAAATACCTAGGTTATAAAGAAGATAAATATATTAAATACATAAATAGAAATAATAATAGAACATCGGAAATTTTATGTAATATACATGGATTAGGTGCGGTGCTTGTAAAGCAATATACAAAGCAAAGAGCAGAATCCAGTATTTGGGCTGCTAGTAAAGGCTTATGGTCAGATTCAGAATTGACTTCAATATGCAGAAGGTCTGATGTGTAAGAAAAAATAGAAGGAAGCTAATATGCCTGCTTTGTATGTTTTGAAGATAATTAAAAAGAACTGTTGTCAACATCAACAGAGATCTACTCATGTACAGTATGCTCAGTGAATATATTTTAAGGGATGAGCTAAAATTGATTGTTGCTTGTCCTAAGACACATTGTGGTTGTAGACTTGAGAGGATTGTCATGTGTGCTCAATCCGAGTGTTCTCCAAGAGGCTCTAGGTCAGGGGTGCCCACAATTTTTTGTCTGGAGATCTACTTTTCAAATGACAAGCTCAATGAGATCTACCAAAGAAAAAACACTTTTACTTAAAAAAACAAGCACATTAAAATTGTTACTGGGACTACTGTCTCTCTCTCTCTC